TAAAAAAAAAAAAAAAAAGAAAAAGAAAAAAAAAAATCCCAGCACGTTAAGCCAGCATGTATTAATATATTAAATCCTAAGTGCAAAGTTACAATGGATAACCTTCTAATGCTCTCAACCTGATCATAACCATAAGCAATTATACTGGAAGCTAAACCACAGAGAATACAATTAAAGACCAAAAATCTTAACAGTTCACTTCATCACATCCAGAGCAACCTGGAGCAACCCTCCCTTTCACAGTGTCTACAGGCACAACGGAAGCTACTGAGACTCAAAGAAGAAAAGGTGTTAAATATCATCAATCCTAAGAGAGTAACCTGGCAAAGTGGTTTCTGAACAAATGCACATTCCCATGTCTGGCTACAGAGATAAAGTACACCATCAATGTAAGAAGTCAGTTTTTTGAAATGGTAATTTCTCAAAGTAGATGAATTGTAACAAATAAAATACTATCAATTACTTAAAATTTAAAAAAATCACTGAGAATCAGGGCACCTGGGTAGCTCAGTCGGTAAAGCGTCCGACTTCCGCTCAGGGCATGATCTCACAGTTCATGAGTTCGAGCCCATCGGGCTCTGTGCTGACAGCTCGGAGCCTGGAGCCTGCGTCTCCCTGGATTCTATGTCTCCTTCTCTCTCAGCCCCTACCCCACAAGCTCTCTGTCTCTCTCTCTGTCTCTCTCTCTCGCTCAGAAATAAATAAGCAATAAATAAATAAGTAAATAATTTTTTTTTTTTTAATTTAAAAATCACTGAGAATAGGAAATTTTATAGTTATCAGTGCTCTAGAAGCCAAAGATAAAAAGCTGATGACTCTGGGGAATCAATCTTTCAAAGGCCAATTTTTAAAATTCAACTTTATTTTTAAAATCAAGCTGCTAAATAGGAATAACATGCAAATAAATATGATGTCTAACTACTTAACATAATTTGTAACAAGCACGTGGAATTTTTTTTAATCCGACACCTCTCCAACATCGAACAGTGTCTTACCACAGAAGACCACAAGATCACTATAATGAAAGAGAGTGAAACAGAAAATAGCGTGCATCAGCCCCCACTCCACCACTGTCACGATCAACCACCACTTCCATTCACTCCACTCAGGATGACCAAACACCTTTTCAAACTATTGTGAAAGGAGGTTTCTACTAACCTGTAGAATCGATTAACGAGCCTCATTCGAATCGTGTAGAGGTCGGTTGGATAAGCTACTACGGTGCAATACTTCGGGTACGTACACAGATCAACTGGCCCCGCGAAAGCCGCTGCTATGTCTGTGAAGGCAGACACAAAACATTTTCATCGATAAATTCATTACCCCACAGGAGATTATTTCTCTGCAAATTCCTCAAAAATAGAGCCACGTTTAACAATGCAGGCCCAAACAAAAAGGAGCAAGTAGAAACTGTAGTGAAGAATGCCACCAAAGTTTGCTGCGCTTTTAAAATACTTTTGTGGAGGGGCGCCTGGGTGGCTCGGTCGATTGAGTGGCTGACTTCGGCTCAGGTCATGATCTCATGGTCCCTGGGTTCGAGACCCACGTCAGGCTCTGTGCTGACCACTCAGAGCCTGGAGACTGGAGCCTGCTTCGGATTCTATGTCTCCCTCTCTCTCTGCTCCTCCCCCACTCCTACTCTCTGTCTCTCAAAATTAAATAAACATTAAAAAGAAAAAATACCTTTGAGGAAAGAAAAACTTGAACATGAAACATTCCACACTAAAAACTTACCAAGATTCAAAAGTTGGTCTATACCACTAATAATTCTTTCACATTCTTCATCTCTCGATTTCTGGCCCCATTCACCATCTTGAGGTTTGTAGAGTAATTTCTCTAGCTCATCGGAAGTGACAGAAATACTAGCTCCTAACTCTTCAGGTGGGTCAACTATAAATTCCATTCCAAAGAACAAGAAAGAAAAATAATTAACCAAATATATGTTATACTTAAGTTGTCAAAACTCCTAAATCAGACACTACAAAGGAAAAAGCAGTGGTTTTATAGTGGAGAAAACTGGGACACCACCTAAGTCACATGATGAAAGTTAACACCCCCAGTAATAGGACAAATGGACATCATGTGCCTCATGATATGATGCACTGAGGACCATATACCACGTCTCTAACACTAGCACCAGAAATGCAAACCCTGGATAATGAGTAAATATGAAACAAGCCCAAACGGAGAGAAATGCTACAAAACGACTAGCCAGGATTATGTAAGAAATGATAATGGGCTATTAAAATGCAGTCAGCATCAAACTTGAAGCCTAGGATAAGAATTAATCAGCCAGATTCATATTAATTCTGTGGGGGGTTAGTAAAGCTCACAGTTACTGAAAACAGGTAAAATATTTTCATTATTTAAAAATGATATACCATGGGGCTCCTGGGTAACTCAGTCAGTTAAATATCCGACTCTTGATTTCGAATCAGATCATGATCTCATGGTTCATGAGTCTGAGTTCTGCATCAGGTTCTGCGCTCACAGCGTGGAGCCTGTTTGGGATTCTCTCCCTCTCTCTGGCCCTCCCTCTCCCTCTGTCTCTCAAAAATAAATGTTTAAAAAAAATTTTTTTAAATAGTTTCTGCTAAAACTTAAAAAAATCATATACCATTATCAGGAATTGGTTCCATGTCCCATGGGCTAAGTTTTTCAATTTCAGTATTGTCCCACCTATTAAAAAACCAAAAGTCCAGTTAGCCTCTCATAAAAACAACTTGTGGCTAATAACTAGGTATCCACAAAAGAGTAAACAAAAATAAAATGTGAAAACCTTATGGTAGCAATGAAAGTTTAAATATTAACCGTAAGATTTTTTTTTAGGAGAATACATTATGAGAAAAAGAAAGCATTAAAAATGTTCAAAGACAAAGTCAGAAGTCCTGTGTGGCTTGTACCCAGGGTAGGTGGAAAAAACTCAACAACCCTGTGAAGCCTTGAATGCCACACTTCAGAATGTGACTTTATTCCACAGCCGATGGAAAAGCAGCAACGATTTCCTTGAACAGGGGAAATGACGTAATATGTGCTCCTCAACTAGGAACTATTAGGAGGCTACAGAAATGGGACCAGGGAGGCAAGCAGAACCTGTCCCGAGGGGGTTCTGGTGAATGGGAAGCAGCCAGGGCGTGCGAGAGACACTGCATGGGGATGACGGACAGGACTCAATGACAGACTAAATCATGGTCTTTCACCTGAAACATATTATTCATGAAACCACCCACCACAATGAACGAATGTCTGTAGAGAATTCATTTCAACTGCATACAGACCTAACGATGTAGCACTGGAAATGACTATCAGGGTACTGCGGCTGATATGGCTCTTGACTTAGCACTGTTCCAAACCACCAAGCATCATCAATGATAGAACGGAATCTATCACCTATAAAAGATGACCAAGTCTGAGACACATTTTTAATTTATAAAATACCATGATACAGATAAAAAAAGAAATTACTTTTTTTATCTTAAAATCAGCCATCCTTCCCCACTTTCCAGCAATCTTCAGCAATAAAATAAATGTAAAAAGATACAATGTCACACTGAGTAATTTACTGACGGTGTATAACCATCCAGTGCAATAGACTAACATGCTTCTGACTGGATTCTGTTGTTTACTGGATCCAAACATTTCCCCAAAATAGGTTCGACCACATTTTACAACATGGAACAAAGAACAAAGCTTAACAAAACTCAATAATCTTCTACAACGATGTATATGATCAAAATATACTTGCTTAATAAGTATATTAAATACCTCTGAAACATGTACTTCCTGAATAAAACATATTATAAAAGTATGACTAGAATCCATGATTATTCTAAAGCTCTCCCTATATAAATATTTCCACATAAAACAGAATTTTAATTCTTAAGACTTCACATTAAAAATCAGTTCCAGATATACCCTAGGATATGCTTACATACTTTATTACTTAAAAGAATTAGGGGCGCCTGGGTGGCTCAGTCAGTTAAGCGTCCAACGTTGGCTCAGGTCATGATCTCACAGTTTGTGAGTTCAAGCCCCTCATGGGGCTCTGTGCTGACAGCTCAGAGCCTGGAGACTGCTTTGGATTCTGTGTCTCCCTCTCTCTCTGACCCTCCTCTGCTCACGCTCTCTCTCTCTCAAAAATAAAATAAACATTTAAAAAAAATTTTTAATAAAAAAAAGAATTAAACACCCACATATCCCTGTATCTCAGGAGGATATATAGAAGCAGGAAGTAGATCTTAGGAGGGCTCCATCCACAAACCAAAGTAACTGTACAGAATGCTCCAACTGACTCCAGTAATCGTCTGTGTACCCTACAACGGCATCCCTTCTAGAGGAACACACTGTAGGTGAGCTCGGTTTCACGTTACAAAAGGAACACAGACTGCTGTCATAACCCCACCTCTTCCCTTCCATCCATTCCACCTTTCTCAAAACAAAACCAGTAACAAAAAAAGTTGCTTAGCCACCACTAACAATTCCTTGGTAGATTAGCAATTCTGCTTTCAAGGAAGGTTTGACAGAAATGGTATCCATCAAAATTAAAGCTGTATTTCACTCCTCAGAAAGAGAATATTTACGTAATAAAATACCCACAAAGAGTACTAACAAAGTATGCTTCCACGGAATTCTCTAAAACTGAAAACAACAGCAGTATCACTACTGGAGCTGCATGTTTTGAGGTTCTTAAAATATTTTTAAATTCACATAAACATGACTTTTATGTACATTTTATATTTTTCAAAGTCACTAGAAACCCAGGACGCCTGGGTGCTCAGTCGGACTCTTGATTTCAGCTCAGGTCATGATCCCAGGGCTGCGGGATCGAGCCCCACGTCTGGCTCCATGCTGAGCGTGGAACCTGCTTAAGATTCTTCCTCTATCTCAGCTCCTCTCCCACTTGCTCTCTCTCTCTCTCAAAACAAATAGATAAACTTAAAAAAAAAAAAAAAGCCAGTTTTTGATACCAAGAACCAACTTTATAATACTTTCCTTCCCTATTTATCTAAAACTAGAAGAGGAACACCTGGGTGGGACGCTTGATCTCGGCTCAGGTCATGATCCCGCAGTTTGTGAGGTGGAGCCCCGCATTGGGCTCTGCGTGAACAGCATGAAGCCTGCTTGGGATCCTCCCTCTCCCTCTCTCTCTCTGCCCCTCCCCTCGCTCTCTCTCTCTTTCAAACATAAACTTAAAAATTTTTTTTTTACCGTTTATTTATTTTTGAGACAGAGAGAGAGCATGAACGAGGGAGGGTCAGAGGGAGGGAGACACAGAATCTGAAACAGGCTCCGGGCTCTGAGCTGTCAGGACAGAGCCCGACATGGGGCTCGAACTCACGGACCCCAAGATCATGACCTGAGCCGAAGTCAGACACTTAACCAACTGAGCCACCCAGGCGCCCCTCAAACATAAACTTTAAAAAAAAAATTCAAAAACAAAACAACTAGAAGATACTTTTGGTTTAGATAAAAGTATTTTTCACTGTAAGATAACACTTTAAATTAAAAGGAGCCTTAAGAAATCACTTTTCTGAAGGTAAAACCTGGCTTTTCCTTAAGAATTAAAAAAAAAAACAAACTGATTTTGCCTATTCAAGAGTAGAATAAACATGCTTAGTAAAGTTCTTCACGCAATAAAATCAGGATTAAGCAACTTCCTTTACTAACACTGCTCAAACTTCGAGAGAATCGGTCAGATTTCATGGGGGGGGGGGGGGGGGGGCAAAATTGAATTAATTAAAAGATCTGGTACATTAATTTCCCAATCACAAAAATAAAACAAAGGCACTAAATTTCAAAAGGCAAGTGGAATCCACCTCTAGAGCTCAGCTACAGAGAACGGGAGTTTAAAACAATTTCTGGATGCACATGTGGGCGGAACAAAATGAGAGCTTCCAACTTAGACGTCACAGATGTTGGATAAACAGAACAGATGCGAAACTTTGAAGTTCCTCAGGATTTGGCTATCGACCTTAACTCCGGCACATTCCAGACGACTGGAGTTTGGTCTTGGTTGTTTCTGTGTATGGCTAGATGTTTTTCTTCAAGAAAAACTTCCTTTAGTCCCAAAACAGTCCTATTTGTGTGGGTATTACCGTTAAAAATAGTCCACTAAGAACAGCCACGTTCTCCAACAACCTTTCATTTCAAATAGGGATGACTCAGGGAATTTGTCGAAAATTTACCTATTTGTAGTACTTCAGAAAAAAGCAGCAACAACTAGGAAAATTAATGAGGCCTTAACATCATTTACAAACGTGTACACTAGACGACAGAGCCTAAAACTTACTATTCCTAATAAGAGACCAAAACTGCTCAAAGGCGAATGAACTCTCCTAAGTGGCTGCATTATTTACAATGCAGATTAGAAGTAATTTGCATTATTTTTCAATTTCCTGATTGTTTTAGATCATAAGATAACTTTGTGAATTATACCAGTCACAGTAAAGATAGAAAAAAATGCAGACTGTGGACATGTGAAAGGATATAAAAGTTCACCCCTAACATACAGTCAACGCGTAAGAAATAATCCCCGCAAGAAATGCTGGTTGGCTAACAGTCCTTATGAAGAAGCAGTAAAGCAAAAAATACTTTCCAGGCACTTCTATTTCTTTCCAGAATTCACATGTTTGCATCCACCATAACAAGCAGCACCACAACAAAAAAATAGGCCAATAAACGGAGAGATCATTTTCCAACGGTGTATGAAACTCAGTAAGAACAGACTTACAAGACTGCCAATTCCTCTGTCTTGCTTCATCATAAAATTGACGCAGTACAAGAAAGTCAATGACATCGGGCATATCATGGTATCTAAACAGAAATAAAAGATTATTAAACTCCCTGAGCAGCAGGTTACAGTCTAAAGCAACAATGTCCAAAAGAAACAGGATGGGAGCTGCATCTCTAATTTTTTTCTGACTAGCCTTATTAAAAAAAGTAGAGAAACTAGTAAAATTAATTTATCCCATGTACCCTAAATACGGTTTCACCATGTTATCACTACAAAATAACGAGATACCTTACATACTTTTTCTTCATACCAAGTCTTCAAAATCCAGTGTGTACATCACACTCCATTGAAATCGGCCACATTTCAAGAGCTCTAGAGCCACGTGTGGCTAAGGGCCACCATAATGGACAGCACACATTTAGCAAATCATTATTCTAACATTTTCTCAAAAACAAGGACAGACACAAATTCCCCTACAGGCCAGAGTTCTCCACACATTAGTGGCATGGAAAAAGGTATAAACATGCCAATGCCTAACTGTTGCTACAGCATGCTACTTTTACTCCCCGCTATGAGCACCTCAACTCCCGCCTTAGGCTGTCCACAGTGCTCCGCTATTTACCCCGCAGTTATGAGGGACATGCTGATCAGCAAGAGGAAACATCTAAATTTAAACAATTCCATAAAAAAAAAGAGTAACACATACCTAATAGAGAAAGATTTGTCCAAAAGTTTTCCAGTTGCAGGATCTATAAATGCTAGTTTGAGGCAACAGAGCGTAGGGGGCCCAACCTCGTATCGTATTCCAACTATTTTGACCAACTCTTGATCCTTTAACAGATATTTTTTAAAGAATGCAATGTTTAAAATGGTTAAAATAAAGCAATTTCTCAAGACTATAAATCTCCACGTATTGCCACATTAAGTCAACTTATAAGTCAGGTTTCCAAGTTAACAGTGATTAAATCATTTTTGCTAAAATTAATCTTCACATCTTTTTCAGGATAGACATTTAATACTGTTTCAAACATAAGGAATATACTCACTTTAGAAAACATACCACAAAGTGTTAAGAAGGAACATATAAGAGTCACTGATCAGCACAATATCTAAAGACAATTACTGTGAATAATCTGAATTTCTTTCTGGCTCTGTTCTCTTCCTAGAGATACATCATCTTGTTTTATGTGTGTCTCTGTGTAAAGACATCTCATTGAAGATGCTGTTGATTCATTAGCACTGAACTCAACAGCCAAAAGGACTTCTCACTCATGCCTAGACAAAGTTTATCTAACACAGGTGTTCTCTCCAGAAAGCACATCATCACCTTCTTGTACTGAGTAACACAGCAGAGCACTTTAAAACATCACAGTCGGGGGCTATGTTAAACAGTAAGTCACCAACAAAAAGCATAAAAACACTAAAGTTATTTATGTTGCATTCAATAGATCGTGAGAAGGACACTTATTTATGATGTGAGAGCTCAAACAAGAAGGTATCACCTCGCTCGACCTCAGGAGGTAACAGGCCGGTCAGGGAAGTCAAATTTTTTGCCACTGTGTGTGTGTTTGCAAATGACCAGAAAGCACCCTGAGCATTGATTTGGGGTTACAAATAACAGGCAGCTAGTAGGCAAAATGACAAATATGGAATCTGTGAATAATGAGGATCAACTCAGTGATAAGTGAAACAGACCTAAATAAATCAGAGCATATGGTAAGCCAAATGCAAGACGGAGAGCCACTAAGTTGAAGGAGAGTTAAGAACAGCTATCTTTGGGAGTGCCTGGGTGGCTCGGTCCCTTAAATGTCCAACTCCTACTCATGATCTCACTGTTCGTGGGATTGAGTCCCACATCGGGATCTGTGCTGACAGCAGAGAGCCTGCTTGGGCTTCTCTCTCTCTCCCTCTCTCAAAATCAATAAATAAACTTAAAGAAGAAGAAGAAGAAAAAAAAAAAACGGCTAGCTTTGCTAAGATAGTTGTTTTCACCTTCTAATAGTTACTGAAAGTATCAAAAACATATAAAATACAAAGAATAAAAAAAAATCAACGGCAATGCTATTCCATACATAATCACCATTGACATTTTGATGTATTTATTCTGGTTGACTACATGTCTGCAAGTTTTTATTACCATAACCACAAACAACATTTCACATCCCATTTTTTCTCTTAGTAATAAATTATAAAAATTTAACAGTCATTCACTCAAGTATTTTAAAAGCCTCAATTACACAGTGGGCTTCATACCATAGTCAACTCTGCAAAAGGTACCATGACTTGTTCCATTCAGTACTGTAGGATACATGGACTTTTTCTAATTTTTGTTTTTATAAACAGGGATATGGAATTGTCTTGCTCATAAATTCACATGCACTTCCAGTTGTTTCCTAAATCACCGCAAATAAAGTCATGGATTTAAAACATCTGAATATTTTCCAGTTTCAATTTCAATCGCCAAGATAGCCTCTACAAAGCCCGGGCTGTTTCATATACCCTGTCCTGTCACCAATGTGAGTAACTGGTAACAAACCAAAATCTTTGCTACTTGCTAAAATGTGGGGTTTTTTTCTTTCACTGCTTAAAAAAAAAATTTTTTTTTTTTTTTAATTTAACTGGTTAAGTATAGGGGAGCTAAAGCTTTTCCAATAGACTAGTCTATTGTGCACGCGGTTCAACTTCTTTTCCAATTTGTATTTCCTCTTTTGAAAAACTGCCACTTCTTTTGAATATATGTCCCAGATACACACATTTTAACATTAATGATATATACTACCAAGCTGCCTTCCTGAGTGACGAACACACTTATAATTTTATACGCCAATCAGCAATACATGAAGACCATCCACTGACAAACACGTCTTTCTGCTGGATCCTAAGGCTTAGGAAGGTAACAGCAGAAATGTTTTTAAGTAGGCAGTCAAAAAGACAGTAATGAAATATACCTCCAGAAGGTTTATTTTTAATGGATTTATAAATAATTTAACTATACAGTGCTAGACATTTAATGGCTTAATAATATGATCATCTTACCCTAAGATCCATTTTTCTCCATGGCTCCTTATTAGGGTTCAGTTCATAAATGTTATTTCTTCTGACAGCCTCAATATAAGCTTCGTGACCCTGTCGAAAATAGATTACCTACAAAAAGTATACATTTAAAAATAAATTAAAACCTAAGGGTAAAATACTATCTTGTGGTCCATATTCCCATTTCTAAATTTTACTACTCTCACCTCATCGCCCATCTGAGGAACAAAAGGAGACTTTCGAAGTGTGGTGTCCGTTATCCACACGGGAGGGTGAAATTCATATAAATGTTCCATATTTGCAAGCTCCACCGGAGTCATCCTCCGCAAGCTCTGCCAAGGGGATGAGAACAAAGTCCAGTACAACAGAAAGGGCATGGGGGCGTGGTTTGATTGACAAACAAAAGAAACTTCACCAAGTGAGAAATGCTATGTCAAATGAGAATGGGCACGTCGCCTAAGGATCAGTTTTTAAACGGCATACGTTTTTGGTTCCTTCACACACACGGGGGCGTGTACATTGTGGGCCACTGGTGAAAGCAGTGCAGGTTCCCCCGGCACTCATCTAGCCTCTCCCGGATTTCTAATAGACTCTTCATAACACTTGACATCCTATGGAAGGGGGCTCCTTTCCAACCTAAATCCTCTTCGACAGCCAGCCTGCTCTGCCGAGAGACCATTCTGAATTTCACCGTGGACTACTCATCACAGGGAGACTCCTCTTGATTTGAGGTTTTAAGACAGGTGACTTTAAAATGTGCCAACAGGGGCGCCTGGGTGGCGCAGTCGGTTAAGCGGCCGACTTCAGCCAGGTCACGATCTCGCGGTCCGTGAGTTCGAGCCCCGCGTCGGGCTCTGGGCTGATGGCTCAGAGCCTGGAGCCTGTTTCTGATTCTGTGTCTCCCTCTCTCTCTGCCCCTCCCCCGTTCATGCTCTGTCTCTCTCTGTCCCAAAAAAATAAATAAACGTTAAAAAAAAAAAATTAAAAAAATAAAATAAAATAAAATAAAATGTGCCAACAAACTCTTTGATCTTCCTCATCTCTTCCACAGGTGCAGCCCACAACCGCTCCACTCAAACAGAGTAAGACAGAAGTGACAAGAGGCTTCTAAGACAAAGCTGTCACAGGCATTAAGGCTTACCCCTGCTGACACCTCTGGATCACCTAACCTAGGGAATGTCGGCCACCATGTCATACAGATGCCCAAGCAGCTCTTTAGAGGGGCCCATGTGGTGAGTAGCTGGGTCTACAGCCAACTCCCCAACTGAATAGGGTTCAAAGAAGATCAGCCAGCTCCAGTTATACGTTCAGACAGCTGTAGCTCCAACCAGTGTGATAACTGTGACCTTGGGAACCAAAACCCACCTAGCTTTTCAGCCCCCAGATTCTTGACCCACCAAACAGGAATACATGTTTGTTGCTGTAAGGAGCTAAGATTCAGGATGGTCTGTGACACACCAATACGTGAGGAATACAAAGACGTGGCATCTTTAAATAATGACTGTTACTTGCATGACATGAACACTGAACATATGATAAGAAATAGGAACATCACAAGTACTCCTGCTTGTGAACGTGCCAAATGAAAGAGAACGTGGCAGATGTAACTGGGAAACAAGGCAATGACAGAGGAAACAAGAAGAAAGTGCCCTAAAATGCCCTGAAGTATAGTTCTGGTGTTGAAATTAACAGGAGAAAATAAAGAGTTGTGGGATTCTGAGCAAAATAGAGCTCCCTCCCCCTTATCGTGTCAGACTGAGGAAGGAGCCGGTGCCACCGCCAATTTGGGGCAGATTCGATAGAGAAGCCTCCAGAAGAAAGTAGCTTTTCCAAATATAAATTTGCATTTTACATTTGAGTCTTGAAGACTTAACAGTGTCAATAGTGTCAATATAAAATCTCCAATCTCCCTAAGACTTTTAATTTCTAAATATGGACAGAAACACTTGATAGAAAGCGTAAATAGATGTTTTAAAGATATACTTCTCTTACCTCTTTTTTAGGCTTATTTTCTTTCTTTCTCTTTCGTCTCCTTTTTGGAGGAGATAAATTCTCAGTAGACATTTCATCCTCTGAACTACTGCAAAAGCGGGTAACTCGTCGACGTGATGACGTTCGTAAAGGAGGCTGCAAATTGATGCCTGCATCAGCTGTCCAGTCAGAGTATCTAGATGACGAGTCACTAGGAAAGAAAAGCAGTATATGTTGTAGGGAACCAGAATCTAAGCCCTAATGGCAATTTAATCACATAATCTTAAGAGATGAAGAGGAGGGAAGGAAGGATCCTGGGAAGATTCAACTTGAACAATCTGCCTTCACCATCAGCAAATACTGAAATGACCAGAGATCATGAGGAAGAGACAGAGACACTGGAAATTAGGAAAGGATGTAAGCCTGAGGAATTTTTTGTTTTAAGTATAATATAGAGTAAACCTCATGGAAGACAACATTTAGAGCCCACCAACAATTCCCCTTTCAGAAGATGGGAATGTAATTATGGAAACAGTAGAGGTCATGCACAACCGTAAGAGTAGGCCTCCGTCCCCCAAGTGAAAGGTGACTCGGGAATAGACTAAAATTCTAACTGGAATGAAAAACCATTAGTGAACACACTGAGAATACCAAGGAAAGTGTAGCCACAGCAGATAGAAAGCTGGAAGTGGTCAAAGTTCCTTGCCAAGAGGGGGACTTTCCTGAACAGGACGAAAGATCCAAGAGAGGAAGTGGTCCCGGCCCAGTCCAGAGCAGCAGCAAAGTCAAAAAGGAAACAAGATCTAGAAAATGAGCCCCTGCCACCACCAGCTTCAGCAAATGCAGGAAAGAAAGCAGGACAAAGGGCTCCACTGAGACCACCACTGGCCAACCACACACCTCTCAGGCTCAATAAAACACACGCTCACACGCACATTTCCAAGAGCAGTTTATTTAAAAAGAGCTATTTAGAAAAATTGTTAAGAGCACCTGCTTTGTACAATAAAATTCAAGAGAAGCTGAATTAAAAGACAATGATGACAGAGCTAGAAAGCAGAACAGAGGTTGCCAGGGGAGGGGCGGGAAGCGAAGAATCCCTGTTTAATGCGTACACACTCTCAATTTTGCAACGAGTTCTGGAGACTGGGTGCACAACAGTATGAATGTACTTAATGTTACTGAAATATACAGTTAAAAATGGTTAAGATAGTAAATTCTGTTATGTATATTTCATGTTTCACAATTAAATTTATAAAAAAAATAGACAAGGGTTCTAAAAATCACTCCAGCCCCTCAATCATAACAGAATAAAAAAAGTCACGACAGGAAAAAGGGAGTATTGTATGGTGGTCTACACCGGCACAGCATCCATAGGAACAGAAATAAGATTGAGTCCTATTTGGAAGGGACGCTTTTCTAGACCTGGTGATGGCTATGCTGTGAAGAGAGAAAGATGTCCAGGTTTCTGGCACGAGCATCTGCCAAGGTGAACTTGACATTTTATTTACCAAAAGGAGGAACAGATGTTAACATCTGGGTCCCATGAAATCTGGATCCCAAAACTAGAGGTCCACACACGCAATAACTGACAGTAAATAGAATGATGGTCTTACCACATACATTCTTGATACTGCTCTTTATGACTACAGCCCAAGACTACATTGTACACTGTGGGCTCAAATGTGTACAGTCAAACATACCCAAAAAGCTTTCTGTACACACAGCTGTTAATCCAGTTCTCTTCTTCTTTAATTCTTTTTTGTTTTTTTAAAACAAGAGACAGAGAGAGAGCACAAGCAGGGGAGCAGAAAGGAGGAGGCGGGTACAAAGGATCCCAAGCAGGCTCTGCAAGGACAGCAGTGAGCCTGACATGGGGCTTGAACTCATGAACCATGACATTGTGACCTGAGCCAGAGTCAGACGCTCAACCAGCTGAGCCACCCAGGCGCTCCCAGTTTTCTTCTCCTTTTAATTGTACGAGAAACTCAACTGCCCTTCACAGACTGGTCCATCCAAGCCTAGGACTAGGCTGCTGAGCAGATGAAAACAATGAAAAGCAGGCACCTGGAGGGGTGCCCCAGCCTACAGAGGGGTTGCTGTGTGTGACTCCTGATCCTGGGGTCATGAGTTCAAGCCCCACGCTGGGTGTGGAGCCTACTTAAAAGAAAAAAAAATTTTTTTTTTAATTTTTTTTTTTTTAACATTTATTTTTGAGACAGATAGAGACAGAGCATGAACGGGAGAGGGACTGAGAGAGAGGGAGACACAGAATCGGAAGCAGGCTCCAGGCTCTGAGCCATCAGCCCAGAGCCCGAAGCGGGGCTCGAACTCACAGACTGCAAGATCGTGACCTAAGCTAAAGTAGGACGCTTAACCGACTGAGCCACCCAGGCGCCCCAAAACAAAAATTTTTTAAAGCAGTAGCAAGTACCTTGAACTTTCGCTGTCACTCTGACTCCTCCTGTCACTCCTCCACTCCTCTTCTTCAGAAGAGCAAGAACCTTCACTCTGATCACAGGAAGTCTCCTATGTATTGGGGGAGGGGGGGGATAAGATAAAAGTCCTCATCTTGAAGATTAAATAACACAAGTCAAGAAAAGCCGCATTCCATTCTTACCATTTCAGGCAATCGGGCAATGAATATAATTAGATGAACTTCAAACAAAAAGTCAGTGTCTTTATTATATTCTTTTTCTTAGCAAGGCACAGGGCGACAGAGACAGAGACTCAACACCACTGCCGCTGACACAGTGGGCCCTTCTCTGTGTGAGGCTGAGCCAAGTCCGTGTACATGTTTCCAGTGACTGGACCTGGGTCACTGCAATAGGGACACAGGGGCGTCTCATTCTACTTTCATTCCCTAATGGCCGATGACGCTGCGCATCTTTCCATACGATTACTTGCCATCTATGTATCTTCTCTGATGACGTGTCAGACTGTCTGATTTTTAAACTGGATTTTTTATTTTCTTATGAATGCATTTTAAGAATTCATGGTATATTTTAAATAGAAGTCCTTTATCAGATAGGAGCTCTACCAATATTTTCTCCTGATCTGTGGCTTGCGTTCTCTCCTAACAGTATCTTTCCCAGAGCAGGTTTTAATTGATGAAATCTAGCTTGTCACGTTTTCCTTTAACAGATCATGCTTTTGGTATTCTATCTAAAAAGTCACCGCCATACCCAAGGTCACCTACATTTTATTGCATGTTATATTCTGGAAATTTTAAGTTCTGTGTTTTCCATTAAGCTTATGATCCATTTTGAGTCAATCTGTGAAAAGTACATGTCTAGACTTTTTTTTTAACATGTGGATGTCCAGTCATTCCAACATTTGTTGAAAAGCCTCTGCTTCATCCACTGAGTTGTCTTTTGCTTTTTTGTCAAACACTGGTGGACCATACTTGCATTGGTCTATTTCTGGGTTTCCCTATCCTATTCCATTGATCTACTGTCTATTCTTTCACCAATCCCACATTGTCTTGAAAACTACAGACTTGTTACGAACTCTCAATGTCAGGTACTATCAGTCCTCCAACTACGTTCTTCAGTACCCTGTTAGCTATTCTGGACCTTTTTCCTCTCCAAATAAACTTTAGAATCACTTCACCAATATCCACAAAATTAACTTGTTGGGATCTTGATTGGAGTTATGTTGAATCTACAGATCAAGTTAGGAAGAACTGACATCTTAACAAAAACACAGAACAAGAGGGACTCTCTCCTTCGTTGTTTATGGAAATGCAAACGTAACCCAGCCACTTTGGATGACAGTTTGGAAGTTTCTTACAAAGCTAAACATAGCCTAATCATATGATCCAATAAACCTGCTCCTTGGTATTTATCCAAATGCGTTAAAAATATCCCCACAAAATCTGCACATGGAAGTTTACACCAGCTTTATTCATAATCGCCAAAACTTTGAGGCACCTGGGTGGCTCAGTCAGTTAAGCGTCTGACTTCGGCTCAGGTCATGATCTTGAGGTTTGTGAATTCCAGCCTCGCGTAGGGCTCTGTGCTGACAGCTCAAAGCCTGGAGTCTGCTTCAGATTCTGTGTTTCCCTCTCTCTCTGTCCCTCCCCTGCTCGTGCTCTCTTTCTCTCAAAAATAAATAAACAATAAAACAGAAAACAACAACAAAATAATTGCCAAAACTTAGAAGCAGCCAACATGTCCTTTAGTAAGTAAATGAAATAATCTATGGTAAATTCAGACAACGGAATATTATTCAGTTCTAAAAAGAAATGAAATATCAAGCCACGAAAAGATACAAAGGAAACTTAAACTCATATTACTAGAAAGTAGCCAATCTGAGGAGTATCTGCATCAGACTTCAGCTCAGGTCATGATCTCATGGTTTGTGGGTTCAAGTCTCACATCGGGCTCTGTGCTGATAGCTCAGAGCCTGGAGCCTGCTTTAGACTGTGTCTCCCCCTCTCTCTGCCCCTCCCCCGCTCATATCTCTCTCCCTCTCTCTCTCTTCCCCCGCCCCCCCCACCCTTCAGAAATAAACATTTAAAAAAATTGAAAGTAGCCTATCTGAAAAGGCTACATACTGTATAATCCAACTGTATGGTATTCTGGAAAAGTCTACAGAAACAGCAGAAAAATCAGTGGTGACCTACCAGTGGCTCAGGAGGAGAGAAAGGAATGATTAAGTGTAGCAAGGAGGTTTTCGGGCAGTGAAACTGTTATGGTAGAGACATAACATTATGCATTTGTCAAAACCCACACAAATTGTGCAACACACAGAGATCCCTACTGTAAACTAGGAAATTGAGTTCACCAGAGGCAGCAGATGCACCACACTAACCCAGAAGTTACTACCAGGAACAACTGTGTGCAGGGAAAAGAAGATATGGGAATTCAAGGTACTCACTGTGCGGTTTTTGTGTAAACCTAAAACTGCTCTACGACAAAATTTTTTTTAAGTCAATAAAGGGAAGAGAGGGGAAGAAACAACTCTGTGATTCCCACAGCCCTAATGGTTGCAATCTACTGTAAGTTCTAGTTATGGACACCAGGCAGGTACTTTTATTTTTTAATTTTTTTAAATGTTTATTTCTGAAGGAGAGAGACACAGAGGGGGAGGGGCAGAGACTAGCGGGGGAGGGGCAGAGAGAGAGAGAGGTAGACACAGAATTGGACACAGGCTCCAGGCTCTGAGCTGTCACCACAGAGTCTGACGCGGGGCTTGAACTCACTCAGGAAAGGCAAGATCGTGACCTCAGCCAAAGTCTGACGCTTAACCGATTTGAGCCACCCAGGCGCCCTAGGCAGGTACTTTTAAACTGAGACATGACCTTTTACTGTAACAGCATTTACATTAGGAGCATTGAGAATGGATAATGAAAATGTCACTGAAAACCAAAACTTAAAAGACAAAATCTAAAGTCAGTATCTACTTTTATCTACTTCATTTGAACAGGCAAAATGTAGAATAAGTGTATTCTTTTTTAATGTTTATTTATTTTTGAGAGAAAGAACACAAGCAGGGTAGGGGGAGAGACGGGGGGACAGAGGATCTAAAGCCAACTCTGAGCTGTTAGCACAGAGCCCGACGTGGGACCTAAACTCACGAACCGTGAGATCATGACCTAATCTGAACTCAGACACTTAACTGACGGAGCCATCCACGTGCCCCTGAAGTCAACATATTCTCAAAACTGTTTCTCAAAATGTGAGCCTCCTCCTATTCCAGGAGTCTGGCTTTTATGTTCAAATGGACTTTTTTTTGTCATGACAGTGATAAAAGAAACTCTTAAACGCTACTACCTAGAAATCATGCATCCTCTGAAATGTCTTACATGTGTTATCCCAATTCTCAAAACACCTCTGTAAACGGAAGAGTTAAGAAAACTAATGACATTAAATTTCAGAGGCTTCCGATTTAACTTGACTATCAAGGCTGTGTGCATCTGCTTGTAACTCTGAGTTACTTAAAAAAAAAAAAAAAAGTTCCTGATATTACACAAGCTTCAACCCCCACAAAGCCTGGATCTACCCTGCCTGTGTACTACCAGCTCTTCATCTATAGGGACACCCAAGACTAAGAAAAGTAAAATAACATGCGTAGGGTCACAGGAGGGTAAGTGTAGGAAGTGGAATTAGAAATCCAGCTAACTAGAAAGCCCTTACACATTTTCTACCATCAGTGCTTTCCAAACCAAAATGGAATGGAACCAACACGCATATACACAACACACCCCACACACACTCTCCTCCCTCATCTCTGCCCGGCCACACCACCACCCACCCCCTCCCCCACACCAGCTCCCCCACTGCAACAACACAGGTGAATGAATTCCTACCACTGGAGGTAAAACCCACCACCAAGCCACAAGATTATGGTTTATTTTAAAAGGTCAAGTGGATTTAACATTCCACATTATCTATGTTTGCATTAGTTTAAAGCATTTCCCCATTACTTGAAAATACACCAAACTAACAGATATAGAGAAAAATCTTAAGATTGATATACCAGTGATGATTTAAAAAGGAAAAAAAAAAAAAATCCCC